GGGGACTTCACCTAAGTCTCTTCCCGAGACCCCCTCATCTTGAGATGGAGCCTCTGCAGCCTTTACTGATTCAGTGGCCTTTGGGACCACGGTGCTCATTCCCACTCAGACTACCAACTCGGAGTCGTCTTCTTCCTCTTCTTCATCTTCTTGCCTTAGACACCGAACAAAGTCTTTGATCATAAGGATGATGTTCTTCTTCGGCTTATGAGCCGTCTTCTTCTTAGGTTCTGGATCCTCGGAGGTTGAGGTCTTTTTTCTCTTTTTGTCCTTCGCCGGTTTCGGTGCCAGGATCGAAGTCTCCTCCTCACCAGATAGAGGCCTCGTGACTGCATCCTTGCCTAGGCTTGTACACGAGAAAATTGAATAAGTAGAAGAAATGCATCTTAATCGAATCATCACATACACAAAAAGTGGGCTTACCATGAATCTTGGCCTCTCATCGGTCCTTTGATAAATCGTGCCATGAGCGCTCGATATATGTGGAGGTCGAGGCTAGGTTCCGAACCCAGCTCTCGAGGTCGGGAATCGCATGAGGCATCCAAGCGATCGCTACATCATGGAAAAAGACATCGATGAGAAAATACAAAGGAAAAAATAATACACGAAAGCTAACAGTGAAACGGTACTTACGATTCATGTTCCATTTCTCAGGAAATGGCATCTTCTCAGCTAGGATTAGGTCGGAAGTCCTCACTCGAACAAACCATCCCATCCAACCTCGATCCTTGTCCTCGTCTATGCTCGAGAACAGCACTTTGGTAGCCCGACGTTAGAGTTTTATTAACCCTCCTCGATATAAACGGGGGATATACAATCTGATAAGGTGATTGAGGGTGAAAGGGAGCCCCTCGATTTTGCTCACGAAGAATCGGAGCAGAATAACAATTCGCCAAAAGGAAGGATGGATTTGGCCTAGGGTTATTCGATACTGACGGCAAAAATCAACGATGACGGGGTCGAAGGGGCCCAGTGTGAAAGGGTAAGTGTAAACACTTAGAAACCCTTCCACATGGGTGGTGATGTCTTCTTCGGGGGTCGGGATCACCACTTCTTTGCCCTCCTAGTTGGAGTCTTTCTTTACCTGCTTAAGGTATCCCTCAGTTATCGAGCATATATACCTTGATACTGGCTCGCATCGACCAGGAATCGACGAGGCTTTATCGATCTTGAAATCAGAGTTTAGCACGTACCCCCCAGGAATGCATTCCCCAAGACGTGGTTCCATCGGCGTTTTCCCGCCGGGCGGTTGAGAAGATAAAGCAGCTTCTTTTTGTGGTACCGTTTTCGATGTTCTTGCCATTTTTTGTGTAAGTTTAAAAGAGAGGAATATAATAGGACTTAACATTTTTAGAAAGGATTAACAGTAAAACCTGAAGATCTGTAAAAAGGAAGAACTTAAGAGATGTAAAAGTTTTGGAGATTAGAAGGAAGTGAAAGTAAAGTTTGAATCAATGAAGAAGTTGTTTATTTATTGGATTCACGGCGACGGTTCAAAGGCACTAGTGGCCGGCCACCAACTGACACTCATTAATGATTTGGGAAACTGTACCGATGGGACATTTCAGTCACTTCCGTCGCTTACATCACGAGGATGACGTCATGACAGGTCGAGGTAGAAAATCGAAGGTTCAATTCATTTCTTTCCATTTCACTCGAAAACAACGAGGGGACTATTTGTATACGGTTAAAACCGGGCCCACCCGATTTTACTACTTGACCGAGACTGGGAGGTTGCATCGAAGGATGGCTTCGTAACGGAAAGGACTAAATCACGAGGATAAGGTACCGAGTTCAGAACCGAGGTACATATCGAGATCGAGGACAGCAGCGATCGAGACCGAATGAGACAGGCATCGAGCAAGATCGAAGATAACATAATAATAGAAAGGCGAAATATCTGTGACTGGTCGAAGATCATGGCGGAAATCTCGAAACGAATCAAATTAGGAACGGTTAATTAGCTAATCATGGGATTTTTTTCTGTAATTAGAGTTATACCCTAAGTAGAACTCCTTTACTATATAAATGGGAGTATTAACCATTTGTAAGACATATTGTTCTCGCATTAAAAAAAGCCAATATAATGCTCTCTCTTTAGCTTATATTCTCTTGTTCATCAGCTTGCTTTATTTTTAACTATTTTGGTATCAATCAGTTCGAGGGCACCCTAGCTCGAGGGTTGATTTCCGTTTCAACACTGGTTCGCTTTACTTTATAGTTTATTTTTGTTATTAATTTTCATATTTATTTATCGGTATTAAGTGAAATTACGTGTTCTTAGAACCTCATTATAAATTTAATTGTTATCTAATTTTAAGGGTAAACACATATAGAGCGCAGTACCTGGGACGGTGGACGTATACTTCGTCCTCCTCATCAGGGATTAGTTCGATATGGTTGGGGAGGTCGAACTTTGCTTTAAATTCAGCTAATTATTTGAGCACTATTGTCGATAGAAATTTTTTGGGCGTCGCGTCCGGCGATCATTGGAAATCAGGCCTAGCTTCAGGGTTACGGGGGATGATCTTATCTACTGATGAAAAGGTTTCATCATCTACGGTGGCAACTGCACTCTCCCCGGGAACAGGGAACACAACCGCCAATGGAACGGCGTGACTCCCTACACCCTACGTCAGATGGGAGATTCGATATATTTATGAAAAGTAAAGAAGAATAATGGGAAGAAAGTTTGGAATGTGATATGGAGAAAAGAAGCAGAAAAGGGAAGTTCAGAGATGAAGTTTAGAGTCTAAAGTTTGGAAGAATGAAATGTTCAAATTGGGGTTTGGACATCCCTATTCATAGAGATTGAGGCACCAAATCCGAAATAGTTTGTCATAATGGGCACCAAACCCGAAGCGGCTCATCATAATTGGCACCGAAATCGAAACGGCAGATCCAATCAAAGGTTACGCGCAAATCAACCCAATGCGTCAGGAACTAGCATCATCATGGTGCATGACATCATGACATCACTCCCTCTCTTGGACCATATGATTCCAACAAATCACCCGAAAAATTTAAGGGATTTAAAATACGCGGCTCTCAAAGAGCCACGTCGCCTGCTCGTTACAACGACCATGACCGATGTTATCTGTTCAGCGAGCTCGACCACGAAGACGGCCCTGAGCGATATTATCTGCTCATTAAACTCGCCCACGAAGGCGACCTCAACAAACGGAGGGACTAACTGTATAGGTAAAAAATTATCCTAGTAATATTTAGACCACATCAGCATTAAGAGAGCCTTCGAGGGCTGGCACGTGTCATCAGTATAATTTCAACGAAAGACGGATTCAAGGTCGACGTGATCTGACAAAAGATAAAGGGCTAGGGCAAGGAGTCAACAGAGATTGAGGTCAAGAACGAGTACCCTTCTTAACTGAGCAGTAACGGCTAGTTTTAGAGATAAGACTTTAAAGAGAATATTCCAGTTTTTATACTCTCGGGATCTGTACTACTAGGGGTTTTGAGGCACATATCCCCTTATAAATAGAAAGAGATATAGTTATAGAAGGGGATTGGACATTCATTTATAAAAGAACAAGACTTTGACATTCTCTAAAGATTCTTGCTTTATTACATACATACAAAAGACACCTTTTTCTTGAGATCCCTATCTAGTTTTTCTCTCACGATCTAAGGAGAACCCGAATATTCAAAAGCGCATCAATCATATATCATTGTCGGAAGGAATATTACATGATTTCATCCCTTTTTTTCGGTCATCTCTATCATATTTATTTACATAAATACCATTTAATGCTATTTAATATTATTCATTTCACATTTGTGCCATTAAATATTATTTTTTATTGTATGTCCATCACTGTTCTCACATACTTTGTGACATCTTGTTACGACACTAGTTAAATAATCTAGTGGATATTATTATTAGCTAAGATTAACCCTATTTTGTTAAGAAAATCTAATTGTTTAAATCTAGATCTAAATTTTGGGTCAAACACTAATTTTGAAAAATTATTTTATATTTGTAGTAGATAAAACTTAAATTTTACACATGTAACCTTCCGGAAAATTTTAGAGTGGTTTAAAGTTTGGTCATAACATCTACAACTTTAGACCATCGGATCTAAAATTTCGATATATGATCTTGGGTGAGATCTATATCTCTAATGAAGGATGAGGTCATAATTAATTAGCTTATGTTTTTAAAATGAGATAAAATATAAATGGTGGGCTAACTCCTTAAAAAAAATTTGGGTTACTTAGATCTCTCCTAGTTAACCCCTTAAGAAAATTTGCTCAAAATTAATATATAAAAGAAAAAGGTTATATTATTTTAATTTGATATCTTAAGAATATAAATAAAATATAATTTGAGTTAGTCAATTGATTTATATTTATTAAATTAATTTAGTCGGATCTCAAACCAGATATTATAACATTATTACACTTACGGCAGTGAGGAGAGCGTTGTGACCGTATACGGAAGAAGCATACGGCAGTGTCCGACATAACTGGTGGATAGTAGTTGTGGGTCCCGCTTGCTATAATAACTACAACAATATTACAACGAGATCCGCCCCTCCCTTCTGTTGGTATTCCAACACTTTCTCTGGTCCTCTTTTGCCTGCCCCTTGTTTCCTCATTCACCATTTTACCCCCCATTATTCATCCCTTTTGCCGTGTAGTCCCTGCTTCCATTTTATTTGTGTTAATAAATAACAAATATAGAGTCTCGACAATTTTGGTTAAGAAATCTTGTCTTTTACCATTAGCATTAGTTTTTGAGTAACTGAAATGAGTGATCTTGCTAAATTATTTTCTTTATTCTTATGGCACATAACAAAGACTTCAAAAAGAGGAAAAATTCATTAAGTTTCTTTTGTGAAAAAAGAAAAAAAAAAGAAAAGGAGAATTAGTAGAGAAAGATAAATGGGTTTAAAGGGAATAATGACAAAAGGGAAGGGGCAAAGACGAGAAGAAGAATAAAGCGGCCACAATCAGAAGAACCCGAAATGTCTCCTCAGAAGTGGATCTTCGCACGTTATGAATGTTAAGCTACTCTTGTATAGTATTGTATTTGTACTTGTACTACCCACTGCTTTGCTTTCTATAGAGAGAGAGAGGACTAGAGAGAGAAAACCCGTCACTTCCACCGCCACCTCCGCCCGCTGCTCCGCCACTCCTACCGGCTACCGGCTACCGCTGCTCTTTTCCTCTCTTCACCACTTCCATTCTCTGCAACAACTCATTAAACTCATATCAGTACTACTATTTCTTCCTCTGCTTAGCTTTTCGAGCTTCCTTTGCAACTCACTCCCCCAAGTTTCGAGTACACAAAAGCTCATTGCACGCTTCAAAGTGCTGTACTTTTTGCTGATTCACGCTTTTTTCTCGCTCTCCCAAACTCAAAAAGCTCTACTTTCTATATATACATAAAGATTTCAAGCTTTTATCCAAAGCTCTTGTTTGTCGAGTTTACTGTTTCTCTGAAATTCAATCCCAAGAAATGCACCATTAATCTTTTTTAAATTATAAACCAGCTGGTTAATTCATAATGTAAAAACTCTGACACATACTCAAAATGTAACTCTATTCTTTGGAATGTAGCTTATTTTTATAAAAAAAAATTAGGAGAATCTGTAGCGCCGTTTGAGTATTTATATACTCCTAGTGTTTTTGTTTGGAGGCGGAGAACTTGATGGTTTACTATGAAGAATTTGAACTGGTTTAAGCAAATAGCGAATAATGGGAAACTAGAGAGGCGACTTTCATTGGGAGAGTACAAGCGAGCAGCGTCATGGTCCAAGTACATCGTATCATCAGGAGCGGCGATAAAGGGGGAAGGAGAAGAGGAATGGAGCGCCGATATGTCGCAGCTATATATAGGGAACAAATTTGCTTCGGGAAGGCATAGTAGGATTTACAGGGGAATTTACAAGCACAGCGAAGTGGCTATTAAACTCATTAGCCAACCTGAGGAAGATGGTGACTTGGCTACTTTTTTGGAGAAACAGTTTACTTCTGAGGTTGCTTTGTTGCTTCGGTTAAAGCATCCAAATATCATCACTGTAAGCATTGTTTCGCATTTTCATCCATTTTTTCTGTTGGGTTTTCGTTGATCTACGTTTTATTTTTCCGCATGACTTTAAAAAGTATCTGTATTTAAAAAATAAAAAATTATCAAGAAAAAAAGCAAGGAACTTGGATTACTTTTTAGTACTCAAAAGACTGTTACAGAAATTTTATAAAAGGGAAATGTGCTTCAAGTAGTACATTCTTGTAAATAGCCCTTTGAAAATCGCCGTCGGTTAAATGAACGAGATTGTATTTGCATCCCTTATAAAGGGACTTTTCCTTCTGAAGTAGTACAAGCTCATTGCGTGATTGTATTACAGCTTGCACTAATGAGATGTTATGCTATGATGTTATGTCTTTCTTCTGCAAACCAATTGTACTAATAAATCTACTTTGTTCCAAAGAGGATGTTCTTCCCTTCTAGATTTCAATGAGGTAGAAGTCATGAAAATCGTTTATTGCTTAAGTACTGCATCTAAGTGTTAGTCCCCTGGGTCAAAGTTATTCACCATATTGTTCCCCGACAAGCCTTTGGAGGAAACGGGCTCGGAGCTGAAGAAGTTGACATTGACCATTAACCATGACAAGAGCTTGGGAGATGAATGGGGAATGGAAACTGGATTTAAGAAGGAAATTCAAAGGTTAAAGGTGGCATCTCGGAGGCTATCTTACTTTATTTTGTCTTCAAGAAATGGTGGTTGTTTGTTCTTTGGCTGGTCCAGGAGTCTACCTACATAGATATAGTCTAATTTTATGCAAGTGACGATTGCTTGTCGTCTACTTTTAAGAAATTTATTTCTAGCAGAATCCATACGGGAACACAAGAAAAGAAAAGAAGAAAGCATTTTCTTATGTTATACTGTATTTATTATGAGAATGCTAGTGATTGCATTCTTGCTACTTCATAAGTACATGTTTTCTTAAGTAGCCTAATACTATTTCCAAGTTACAACGAAAAGCTGCAAGCGTCTATCACTTTTTACCTACACAGACAACAACAACAATAACAACAACCCAGTATAATCTCACTAGTGGGGTCTGGGTAGGGTAGTGTGTACGCAGACCTTACCCCTACCCCTGGGGTAGAGAGGCTGTTTCCGATAGACCCTCGGCTCCCTCCCTCCAAGAACTCCCCATCTTTTTACCTACACATATCTCCTTAGATAAACACTATGCCGTCTTTAATAAACCCACTTTTTAGCTCATTGCACCAGTCAGCAAACACTTCTCTCTTGTTTATCATTTGCCTTAGGATTAGTGAAGCAAAGAGAGGAGGAAAGGATGTTCTTCAAACTGCTTCTATATGATTCTAAAAGGAAATTTCTGTATGGCTTGTCTTCCATTCAATATAGAGTCTATATTCATCTAATTGACTGAAAACAATATTACTAGAGTGATATTGGCAAATCACTAATTCTCTTTAACCTGAACTCATATTGTCAAGCCTTTTATCTCTACCACACCACTCCACCCCCACCCCTACCCCTACCCCAACCACCACGCTCGAAATCCTTTTTTAAAGAAGCAACAGGTACATGTTAGTCCATAGACTGATCAATATTTTTGAACCTATGCTCTTGATTGCCTTATATCCAAAATCTAAGTCATCTGCCTTTTCGATTGTGTCAAACTTGAAATCTACGGATCAGCTCCTCAACTCTGATTTATACGGAGATATGATTGTGTCACCTGCAGGAACTTCATGAATTGATGAGTTATCCTTTGTGACCACGTCTCTTAGAGTTTGTAGATTGTGGATTTTGATTACATATTTTGATATATGATAACTACTTATTGGTAAATAATTTGAAGTGAGTTGCTGTTCTCTGATTTTTAAGAATTTATTTGTAATTGTATTGGTTTAATATATATATATTTTTCGTGCATGTTTTCTCAATCCTGAAATTGCCACTTCTTTTGACTTGTTCCATTTCTTCTGCCTCTCAAATGCAGTTTATTGCAGCATGTAAGAAACCACCAGTTTTTTGCATCATCACAGAGTACTTACCTGGAGGCTCCCTACGAAAATACCTCCATCAGCAGGAGCCATACTCGGTCCCTCTTAACCTAGTTTTTAAATTGGCCCTTGACATTGCACGTGGAATGCAATATCTTCATGCTGAAGGGATACTTCACAGAGATCTCAAGTCAGAAAATCTACTCCTTGATGAAGATATGTGCGTGAAAGTCGCAGATTTTGGGATATCATGTTTAGAATCTCAATGTGGTAGCCCAAAGGGGTTCACTGGTACGTACCGTTGGATGGCACCAGAAATGATCAAGGAAAAGAACCATACAAAGAAAGTTGATGTATATAGTTTCGGCATTGTCCTATGGGAACTTTTGACAGCATTGACACCATTTGATGACATGACCCCGGAGCAGGCGGCATTTGCAGTCTGCCAGAAGGTATATTCTCTGCTAACTCTTGCAGTGCTTTTCATCGAGATGAAGTGCCTGCTGTTTCATGTCTCTATATATGAATTTAGTCCACTAAAACCACTGAATCTCTATCTGTTGGACATCTCATTCCAAAGTGTCATTTTACATAAGTTATTGTTCTCTGGCTTGCAAGATGAATCAAGAAAGTCAACTAAGATACGAGAAAGAAGAGAATCTAGATCTCTGAGTTGCATTTATCATTGCATATTGGAAGATTGAGAAAAATTATGTCTAGGCTATGAAACAGCTTATGAAAAATTATCAAAAGTTGGAAGTTACCTTTGAGATGAGATAAAAATATTGTGTGAAAGTTGAAAATGCATTTTTCGTTCTTCAGATCACTGCAATAAAAGTGCACAAGTTTAACCATGAATCCCCTGTTGAGGAGGTAATGGTGGGGCTAGTTTGGAATGCCACTCTAAGATGGTAATCATCTGAATTTTATGTTTCTGCTACAATATTAGCATGGTTGATCAGAAAATATGTTTGTCTTGGGCTTAGAAAAGGTACATATTTGAAAATCCAATCATGTCTATGCTATGCACAACTAGACTTGGAGCAAATTCATATCCATATCTATGATGATTCCAGTGGCATCACCTGTAGTTCCTTATTTGTCAGTTCTATATACACTTTAAAAGACGATGTAATGCTGGTATTTCCAGCTGGGTAAGACTATTATAGTTGCAAACATGCAAATGCCGCATACCTAAAATTCTCGCACAGAGTTAAGTATCTGAGCATGCAATTGTTTTTTCACCTTATTATGTTTTGAAGTTGTCTCTCATATCTGGCTTTGTCTATTCATATCCTCTGTCGATCCCTAAACATGTTTCTCTTCAGTAGCTAATGGGATCAGGCCGGCTATTTTCTTTTGTTTCTTTCCTTCTTTAGCTTTGCTTCAAATACATATCTTGGTGTTGGAAGTTGTTCCTCTCACATGAAGTTACATTGGAACAAGTTATTGTGTACAATTTCCCCCCAACACTGTATGCATCACTATCTCTAAGATGGAATTTCTGTTATATTAATGGGATGTTTGCAGAAAGCTAGACCACCAATACCAGCTGCATGTCCAGTAGCAGTTCGTAAACTCATTAAGCGGTGCTGGGCAAACAATCCTCACAAGCGGCCACAGTTCGAGGAGATTGTAACAGTTCTTGAAAGTTACTTGGAGTCACTTGAGCAAGATCCAGATTATTTTCAGTCCTCTGCGCCCCATCGGAAGTTTACCTTGTTGCAATGCTTGCCTAAGTGCATTGAGGCCAACAGATAAGCTTCTCTGAAGCCATAGAAAACTTCAGATAATGTATCTCATTATGTTATCTTGGGTGATCCCCAATGTGAAGTGTAAAATATTTTCTTCAGTTCTCAGTAGCTCAGTGTTATTGTTCTGAACTCTATGGTCAAGTTATCTTTATGGCTAAAGCCACTCTTTGAATATTTCGCTATTTAATTTTGCTGGAATTTGGATCAGGGAATGTTAAGGAGAATCCTGCTTGTAATGAGAATGCCTATGCTTGTGTAATTGTGTTTCAGTCTCCAAAATATTTCAGTTCAAGGGAATGTATTTTGGATCCTTATTTGATCAGACTTTTTACTTTTCAAGGAAAAGTTTTCCTAATCATCATTCTGTTACTCCATTTGTCCTAAAAAGAGTCGTTATTACCATTTGTGGAGTATTTTTGGAAATATTTAAAGCAACTTTAATGAAGAATTGTTATTGTAATTATTCCTATGTAGTTTTAAAATATGTATTATTTTAAAAAAAACTTACGAAATCGATATTCACGTTGAAAATTAGTTGAGTTAATCCAGTGCTCCAAATCTCACCATCTTCCTGGGACTTGGGGTGGGTGTTAATAATGTTCCATAATTAATTGTTGTATGTTATGAAAATAATTATATTGTGGATGTTCATTTATTACTCCGCTATAGATAATCTTTCTGAAGAAGATTATCCATTTAGTACTCTGTTGAAGTTTATCTACAAGCAGCTGATGCAGGCAGGTTGCAAGCAGCTCAATGAAATGATTTGCAGCAGCTTCTTATTAAACAGGCAGGTTGCAAGCAGCTCATGCAGACAACTTACAAGCAGCTAAAGAAAAGCCTTGCAGCTGCTTTCTGAAAAGCCTCGCAGCTGCTTCCTTTCTTCTATAAATAGAGGAGTTTTCAGTTCATTATGTACATAAGTTTGAAGTTTGAATAATATATCAGTTTCTCTCTATACTTGTCTTTACTTTACAGTTTTTATTTTATAACA